AGTGTCAGAAAAGATTATGTATTGTTTATATTTGGTGTGTCTATTAATATATTTAAGAACTGTTAGTATGGCGTTTGTTTCTGCTGTAAAATAGAGCTATTATCCGGTAATCGGAAAGATAGTGTTCTGGATCTAATGACAGTGGCACAAGCAACTGCGCCACCATCCTTGGACCCATCTGTAAATAAGGATTTATATGTATTATATTTATTTCTTAATTGACTAAATTCTTGTTTATACTGTAATTCATTTGTTTCTGATTTTTTAAATGTGGTTAATGTTAGGTCTACTTGTGGCCTAACCAATTGCCAATGAGGAGAAGAAAGCCAACGGGAAGGAGCTACATTTACCAGCTCAATGCCGGCAGCAGCAATAAATGGCTTAACTCTGAGCCCAAGAGGTGGAACAAGAGAAGACTTTTTGTTATACAAATCCTCATAAAGAGTGTTAAAGACACAGCTTAATGCAGGGTTAGACTCGTTAGAATATAACTTTGTAATATTGAAATTGCCTGTCGGTTAAAAACTGTGATATAAAAAGAGGTAAACGACCCCAGAAACCAAAATCATGTAAATCCTTCAAAATGCCATGCTTCCAGGTAGTATCGTATGCTTTCTCGAGATCAAAGAATATCGATACGGCATGTTGTTTATTTACTATTGCATTTTTAACAAAGGATTCTAGTCGTACCAGATGATCAATGGTACTACGATTTTTCCTGAAACCACATTGAATATTGGTTGTAAGGTTATTGGTTTCAAGATTCCACGTTAGTCTATTATTTACCATTCGTTCCATGGTTTTATAGACACAACTGGTTAAAGAGATTGGTATGTAGTGTGATTGATGAGTATGATCCCGGCCTGGTTTTGGAAAAGGGACGACAATGGCATTACGCCATGAAGTTGGGAAATTCCCTGAAGTCCATAGTGAATCAAAAATATTTAGCAACGTTTCCAAACATGGTTCGGGCAAATGCTTCAGGAGCTGATAGTGAATATCGTCAGCCCCTGTTGCTGTATCATGAGCTTGCTCAAGGGCGGTATGTAGCTCAATTAGTGAAAATAATTCATTATAATTTTCACCATTGTCTGAGTTAAAAGTTAACCTTTTCTTCTCCTGTTGTTTCTGAAAGTTTTGAAACTCATGGACATAATTGGATGAAGATGAGTGCTTGGCGAGAGTTTCACCAAGTTTATTGGCAATGTCAGTTTTATTAGTTAATATATTATCTCCATAGATTTAGAACCTTTGCCCTTTTTTCTTTGAATCATGTTCCACACCTTTGACATAGGTGTGCGTGAAGTTATTTTAGAAACATAATTTCGCCAAGACTGACGCTTATTTTGTTTAAAAGCACGTCTAGCCTTGCATTTAAAATTTTAACTTTTTCCTGATTATGTACAGTAGGATGTCGGCGAAAATACTTTTCAGCTTTCTTCCTGGACTTTCTGGCCTGTTTACATTCATTATTGAACCATGGCTTACGAATGTGTGGAATTGCAGAGGACAGTTTGGTCAGCAATGTTGTTCAGTATATCTGAAAATAACTGCATAGGATCTTCGCTGTTCGCAAACATGTCATGTTTTAAGTGATCAGTACATAGTGTCTGCTATAATGACCAGTTAGCGCTGGCAAAGCTCCGTCGTGATAAAGGTGGAACATCACCAGGGTTGACCGTTTTGAGAATGGTGGGGAAGTGATCACTCCCACATAGGTCATCATGTACCCCCATTCAAATTCATTATATACGTTGGAATCGGCGAGTGATAGATCCAGGGAAGAATACGTTCCCGTAGCTGGGTGTAAATATGTAGGTGAATCAGCATTGAGAATACATAGATTATTATCAGAAATTAATTCGTCAAGGATTTTACCTTTAGTATTAGTATGGTCACTTCCCCAAAGTGGGTTGTGACCGTTCAGATCGCCCATGATGAGGCATGGCTTCGGAAGCTGGTCATATAGGTTTTTAGGATCCGATTGTCTAATATCAGAAGAGGGAGGAATGTATAAACTGCACAGAGTCAATGCAATATGCATGGTGATGCGAGCAGCAACAATTTGAAGATTTGTACTAAGATGGACAGGGCTGTGTATTATCCCTTGCTATACATAAAAATGGAAGCACCTCCAGTTGCTTTGTCTCCTGGAGGAGAAAAGGAGTGAAAATCACTATACCGTCTCAGAATAAAGTTATCTGTATGTTTCAGATATGTCGCTTGGAGACATATAGCTGACGGTTGAAAATCCTGTGTTAGTAATTGAATCTCGTTGAAATTATTTTTTAGTCCTCTGCAATTCCATTTAATTATAGTGGACAATTGAGTCATGATGCCTCAATTGGTGATCTTCCGCGTGAATGTGAGGAGGTGGAGCTCCTCCGTGTGTCCTGAGAGGACGATGACACCTTCATATCTAGAGGTTCAAAGGGGTTCTCGAAAGGAACCTCTGAAGATATTGGGACAGTTGGTAATTGTTTCCTGTTGAATTTTTTTTCCTTTCTTTTTGGGCAAATGACCAGTGTTAGACTGTTTAGCTGACGCTTGCGATGTCTCTGGCTGAGTCTTAGTCTGAGAGCCAGATGAATCCTGAGAGGCAGATGGAGATTGAGTGGCTCGGGATGTCGATGGTAAGACTGAAGCAGAATTCATGGGCTTCTCTGACTTGACCCATGTCAGATCTGTTTGACAGGTAACAGAGGATGTCATTACAGACCGAGTTACTGCAGCAGAGTATGACAGATGTAATGGAGTCGAATTATCACTTTTAAAGAGTTTTTTAGCGTCAAGGTATGGGATGTTCTTTTCGCACTTCAGCTTCATTATTTTTTTCCGTTTGCCAAACGGGACAGGATTTGGATGAAGAGTCATGTGGACCAGAACAATTTGTACATTTAAACTCTTTGTCCAAGTCCGTGTGTTCATGATTGCCACCACAGCGATGACACACCACAGAGCCACGACAAGAGTTGGACCCATGACCACATTTCTGGCATTTCTAACACCGGAGTGGACTGGGGACATACACATCCACTCCGATATTAAAGTATCCTGTCTTAATTGACTGTGGTAAAGATGCACGGGCAAACGTCAAGAGATAGGTATTGGTTTTCACAAGGGTACCCTCTCTCTTGACGGGGAAACGTTTTACAGCGGTTACACCTTGATCTACAAGCTCTGCAGCAATATCATCCTCTGACATGTCGAACAAACAGCGAGCTATGTCGCGAATGATTCCTCGACATGAATTTAATGTTCTGTGCACAGACACAGCAACCTCAATATTGGCAAAGGTTTTGATGGACAAAAGATTGAGATACTGCTGTCTCCATGCACATTCCACCAGAAGTGAACCACTACGGAGACGGGTGACGTTCTTAACATCTCCACAAATTCCAGAAACAGCCTTTGATATCTCAAAAGGATTTAGTTTTATAGGCAGAAAATCAGTTGCCTCAATCACAAGGAAACGAGCCCATGAGTCAGAATTCGAAGAAACAGTTTTTGAAGGGTTATCAACATGTTCGAAACGTCGCTTTTTTCGATCTGCAATGATCTCCGAGATGCTGACACCAGGGATACAGGGGTGTTATACTCCAGAGACAAAGACATGAAAAGCCATGAAAAACTGAAAGAATAAATGCCAGGCTGGTTCGGCCCATGACATCATTCCCAAGAATCACAGATTTCAGGGGTCTAATACCTCCAGATTGGCCCATGAGCCACCGCCTTCTGGCATAGGACTCTAGGCAATTTAAATTAATAAAAAATTAGTACATTGTAAATCAAAATAACCAAAACCCAATGATATTGTATTGTGCAAACATAGTCACCATGCCCAGGGCTTGGCGTGACCAGCCGATGGCTAGGACCGGGCCAGTTCTACCACCCGTCTAGGTGAAGTAAGGGCCAAAGTGGTGTGTTGGGCAAAAGGAACACGGTTCCACGATCCTATTGCTCTCAACCACCAGAATCCCGTCCTCCACTGACACAGGGGCGCAACCCACGGCAAACGGGTTGGTGGACCAAGTATACCCCCGGGTCCACAACGGGGGTTGAATAGTGCTTAGCGTTACCCAGCACCCACCAGGAGGAGGTGGCTCTTCACGGGTGCCCAGAAAAGTAGAATTTGCTAATTTTTTAGCAATCTTTATTTTTTCAATCGTAACTAATTATGCACAGCTTGATTGGAAATGATGTTTGTTTAAATGACAAAACCAGACAATTGTTTACGACCAGGATGCCCCTATCTCCTGGTATTATCACTGTTTAAACGTGATTCATAAATACATAGAATCAGAATCCTAGAATGGGTTTCTTATGGTTATGGGAGGGTGTTTTCGCGCTGAAAGGCTGAAGTTGAAATGGGTCCAACTTCCTTAAGGTAGACATATACAGAAATAGCGACAAGGCATATGTGTGTATTGCACAAGTCAAAAGAGAAAATCGCATTAGACATAATTTTTGTCACTGATGGTTAAATTTTGGACATGCCATCTACATATTCACCATAATTTTAACGGCTTTGCTGGGAATACACAGTGCTTTGCTGAGGCCTTGACCGTTTGCTGAGGCCTGTTTGTTCGTGGAACGTGGAGCGAGCATGCTCAAATGAAGTCAAAAGTAGTCCAAGAACAAATCATTGGCTGACCGTGTATTTGGACTGCCCTGTAAAGTCTAGTGTGGTAAAAAGTCACAAATAGGTTATATTTCTTATAGTTTGTAGATTAGTTTGTAGATTGCCTAGTATATATGGTCAACACAGCCATCGACCTTGATGTTAGTCTCAATGAGATAAGGGGAAAAAAACAATTACAGATATTAAACCTGTTATCATCGAACGGAGCTGGGTTATCTCTGTCCAACATTTAACGTAATGTTTTCTCAGACCGTGGGTTAATTTTGACCTTAATGATAAGGAATCCCGAACGTAGATAGGTGTGCTTAACATGTGTCATTTTCGCACTTGTGCCTGCAATATAAAACATGGTCACATTTCGTGGAATCCTGTATAGCCATGCTGCCAGCGGTAGCCTTCATTACAGTCTTCCTGTGGGGGGAGGTGATCTCCGACACCACAGTCACCATCCACAATGAGTGGCTCTCCCAGGGTGGACGAGTCCATTATGAGGTCGACAGATGGGACAAATTCAATGGTCTTGCATACACCAATCTGATCTCTAAATGCAAAAGTATTGGTGCCTATTCCGGACGCTGGATGAACAGAGACTTGAATGGCCATCTATTCGGGAACGTAAGTTTCAGTATTAATACTATTCATATTAATGCTGTGTCTGGGTGGAATGTCTGGATATGATACTGAAATATCATGAATATATACTGATAACACCAATACATTTTGTGTATAAAACATTCAATCAGGCGTGTTCGTGTAACCTTGACATTGGCCTTTGGATTTTTCCTTGCATGCTTGCAATCGGTCTACATATACAAATAATCACTAAAACACATAATTTATTACAGTGGGTCCTGAAATATATTTTGTCAGAAAGTGAGTCTGTGATGTGTCTTATGATACCATCTACATCGTGCTGCACTCAGCAGTTAAGAAAGATGGGTGATAAAACATACAATTTCAAACAACAACAGCAACAAATTGGATTGCTTTGAACTTGAACATATCGTTTTCACATGGTTCGGTGGAACACAGCTTAGATCACCACATGCAATCTCAAAAATCATAAAATCACTATTCATAGTGAAGATATATTCCTGTGTATACTCTTCAAAAAAGTAAGAAAACTTACGATTGAAAAAATACTTCGGAGTCAATTAATGTTGATATGATAATAATGAATGTTTTGAGAGTGCATCACGACTTGCACTTCCCTATGACCATAGTTGTTTGTACAGTAATCACTCTTGAAAGATGCTTGGTGTATGACGTGAAATTTGCATTTGTACCGAATATGTAGAAATTCAGTAGTGTTTAATTCCATCAAGAAGGGTCAGACATTCATTCAGACGAGGAGGCATACTGCGTATAAGTCTCCCAATGACACATTTGGGAAGTCTGTTCCATTCTTGCGGAAGCGCACAGCCACGTTCATCCAGCGTAGTCTGCGGCCTTTGCCGTTGACGCATCCATCTCCTTATTATGTCAGAGACGTGTTCGATAGGGGAAAGATCAGGGCTCATTGCTGGCCAAGGCAAACGATAGATTGTGTGCTGCTGGAGCTGATTATTGACGATACGTGCACGGGGAGCACGGGCGTTGTCATCCTGAAAGACGAAATGACGACCGAAACGTGTAGCAAATGGGACAACAAAGGGTGTCAGTATGTTGTCCCGTTATTACTGCCCTGTGATCCTTCCTTGCACAACACAAAGAGCGGTTTGGACAGTCATTGTGTTACCAACACCATACCATAAGTGACTCACCTCCAAAACCACGCCTGTCAAGGAAGTCCAAAGTGAATCTTGACTCATCCGAAAACATAACACGTGACCAACGACGATTCCTCCAGTGTCCACGTGCTCTACACCATCCTCTTCTTCACCACAGCCCGGGGCCGTAGATCATGCAAGTGAGCTGCAAGGAGGCGATTCCTAATCGTCTGACCGGAAACTCGAACACCAGTAATCTGACACAGATTTGCTGCAATTTGACTGGCCTTTACAGCTCTATTTCTTGAAGCCTGGTTCCGAATGAAACAATCATGTACTCTTGTTGTTGACCTTGGATGATCTGAACGGGGTCGATCGTCAACATTTTGGGTTTGCTGACATCTGGTCCAAAGTCTGCCAATGACTGACTTAGAAACATTGAAGGTATTGGCCACTTGACGCTGGGCGCAAGATGCCAATTGCACGTAACCTTTCATTACGTTGCATACTCTGCATTGCAAATTCAAACAAACAACGGCTAGAACTAACTAGTGTTAGAACAACTTTTGTGTTGCTAGAACACAAACAACTGTATGATCAACAGATGCAAGATGATTGTGAAAATTAATGGTCTAATTTGATTTATCTGCCTTCTTGAAAACCGTCAAATCAAGAATGACATACCATGCACGTATATGGGGCTTCTGCGTTGTGCACGTGCATCCAAACTGTTGTGTTAAGGGGTAAAGAGAAATGGTGGTGTGTTCATAAGATGTCTGTCTTATACTTCCTATCCAAACTGAAAGTTCAGGTTCCCCTACTTTTTGAGTATATATAGCCGTCATGTTTTCTGAAAAATAGCATGATTACCATTATCAAAATTATTTGCTATGTCCCTGTAATTAAATCTTTACATCATTTTTTGGTCATTCATTCATTCATTCATTGTTCTGTTTGTAGTGGAACCAAAATCCAAGTCACCATGGTTACCCAGACCCCCACTACCTACAAAGCTCCAGTCTACAAAGGAGCACCTATAACTTTACATGGATCAAAGACGTGGTTTTGGAAGCGGAGTAAATAACATGGTATGGGTAATCAAAGGTACGTAAAGTGTACATACCCATACTAATTGGTGTTTGTACAAAGTGGAAAACATTCTTGTTGTTTTAACCAAATGTAGTGCTTGAAAAAGAATAATATTTATAAATCACTGTTCATCTGTTGAGTCACTTGAATCCTTTAACAGTGTACGTATATTATCTTCACATTAGATCTTGAAACAAAGATGATGTACAGCTGGCAACAGCATGTTCATATAATGACATGGCTGCTAACAAAAGTACTAATTAACAATAAGCACTTACTACAGGTAAATTGTTTATTGAGTTACGAGGCACCTGGACTGGAATTCAGTATTATGTCCCTTTGGCGTACCAGGATCCTATGACAAATGATTCGATTCCTCTCTTTTGGGGATAAGTATTTGCCTACGTGGTGTATAGGATAGACGTTAGAAGAATGTACTGGCTGTTCCCCTGCCGGAGCTCGACATTAAAGAAAAAAAAAAGTACTTATATGATGGGAGTCAGTACTATGACATGAGCGGCGGTATCCATTTTAGCACTATGGTATAAAATCAGTGGGATAGCGGTATCTAACCAACACAATTCATGATATATACAAGCAAAGATACGTATTGGATTATCCACTTCAGCTCTTAGCATTAGACTGGTGAATTGAAGTGAATTGATTGAAGCTGCTACAACTCGCCCATCTTAATATTGTGAGAACACACATAAGTAATCAAATGATATATATTTATCACAATCCAAAACATTCATATTACGTGTTAATGGCTCAGAGATATATTTCAGTGGTGTTTGGTGTTTGTTTGATCTTTCTTGAATATTTGATGAATATTTGAAAGCATCAGCAGCTATTTTCGACCCATTCCAAGCTATACGACCCCATTCCCCTCTTATCATCTTATCAGTGCTATATGCACATCCACTCAAAACGAGTTTGATACAACATTCAATGGGACAAGCAAGCCTTTAACATCCACATTTGGAGAAATGATGTCATCGACAGGGCTAAAACGTTCTCATTCACGCTTTACACTTAACCAGAATCGTCCGTGTTGTGTAGCTCACAACAAATTGCAATAACGTTTGTCAACGTATTTATTTTAACATTTTGTTATTTATTTAATGTCCACTTACTCATGGAACTCATCGCTTCTTTTCTCTTTTCGCCTTAGGTCTCAGCTGGCCAAACTGGATCGACAAGTCGCAACATCAAGGCAAGTTCCCAAATAACGTAGACGCTGCTGCGGAGTTCGTATCTCTCATGGTTCAGGGTGCCAAGGATTACTCCGGAGGACACCTACCAGCTTATTTTGAAGTCATAAACGAACCAGACGCTTCGTGGCAGGCTCTGGACGCAGGGACTGTCAGAAACTTCCACAAAAACTGTCGCTCAAAAGCTCAAATCAAGATTTGGCATCAAGGTGGGAGGTCCAACCTATACTGGCTATACAGTCAGAACAGATGCTAATAATTTCCATGCGTGGGAGAGAACGAAACAGTTTATGGACATGTCTCTAGATCACATGGACTTCTTTTCCTTCCATGCTTACAACGATATCAATGTATCGGGTGGTAGTCATCACTTTGAAGGCTTCAACGAAGCACGTCTGGTTGCCTTCATTGACATGATAGAGAACTATTCTCATATAAAGAAAGGAAAGAACGTTCCTTTAATTATCAGCGAGTTTGGCAGAGGCGGAGTTCATGGAATCAGTCAGGAAGCCCACTCGGGAATTGTAGATTTTGGTACTTTATACCTAGGATTTGGACAAATGTTTACTTATCTGAACCTGAGAGAGTTTATGGAAAGAGCAATTGTTTTCCTTCTAGCCAATGAGCAATATCCAGGTCATAACAGTCTCAACTGGTCCCTGTTCACGAAGGATGGGCATGAAACAGCACTTGCAAACTACTTCCGTTTCTTTCAAAATTTGTACTACGATCAGAAGTTTCTTAGAGTTGAAAGTACGTACACCGGATGGGAGAGAGTAGTTTCCCCTCTTGCCCTTGCAAACCCAAATAACAAAGATGTTATGGTACTCCTTTATAACTACGGAAAGCAATGGCAGAATGTAAAGCTGGACTTCCAGAATGGCTGGATCCACCCAACAACAGGTGTGTCTACTTGCCTTCAGTACCAGAATGGCAAACCAGTAATGCACTGGAACGTCCACTTTGACACCAGCAAGAACAATGGGAAAGTCGGTCTCCCAGGAGAGGGTGTCTGTTACTACAAGTTCGGCACCAACTACAACTTTGGAGGCGTCAAGACTAACAATGAGAATACCTACTATGGAAAGAATATGGTCATCCCTATTAGTAACGGACATGCGCAAACCACAATTCAGGTACCGGGATCCGGCTTCCATACTGCACGTCTTAGGATCGGTGTAAGCAGAAGCAAGAGCGCAAACGGAAAACCCACTGTAACGTTTAATGGGTATACATTGTCATCCAGCTACAACCTGTACGATTCAGACAAGAACAACGCCCCGACCAAGTGGGAATTGTGGGAATTCTCAGTGCCTGCAAATAGAGTTCATTCTTCCAATACAATCGGTATGTCCTTGGGAGGAAATGGAGGTCATATTAGCTCTGTCGCACTGGTTGTTGGACACCTTCAATAATAAAGAGTATTGCAAAACTATCACTTTTGTATCCTGGAATCCTTCTTCCTTGGACGTATTTTAATTGCTCGCACCTATTTATCAAAGAATTTGTTCCTGGGTGCATGAAAATTTTCCATCAGGGTCGGCATGTCCAGACAGTAGGAAATCTTCAGCCATAAGGAATATCGAACATACTTTCTAGGTTATCAAATGAATATGTTGCCTTACTTTTAATACATATCTTGACATGATTCGAACTTCGAGTAAGATGTCCATGAACAACGAGGAGAGTTCTATGGATATACAACTTCTTTAATATAATATGAGCGACGTTTCGGTGTAGCTACTAACACCGTTATGAAGCGAAACTTCCACGTCTCCATGAAGACGGCGGATAACTTGTTTGAGTGGCATTTAGAAATTGGTGTGATGAACAACGAGGAGAGTTCTATTATATTAAAGAAGTTGTATATCCATAGAACTCTCCTCGTTCATGTCCATGGTTTTACATGGAAATAAGGGGAGATATGCGCATGGAAAGCAATAAGGAATTACATCAGTTCATCAAGACTATGTCATCGGAAATGAAGATTAATAACGATTGTCGTACCCAAGGAATCCAGCAACTGCATTATAAAGTCTTGGCAAGCTATGATGGAGAGTCCTGTGTTCACAAAATTATTTCCAATAGATTTGCAATTAGATTACCATGATTATAGTGATAAAAATAAAAACATAATTTATAATCTTGTTTACAACGTTTACGTTTTCAGTTATTAATCAAAATATATTTAATCCGCATAAGAGGGGGTTTAAAAATAAATATCTAAAATTCATAAAAGGTTGTGTTTTCAAATAAATATCATTTTAATGAAAATGATGGATAGAACTCAGGAAAACAATCACAAATAGATGCGAACATTCCTACCTCTTAGTGGAGTTGCATTTTTACCTGGCAGGGATTTGATTATGTAAGTGGTGAATTTTAGCACTGAAGCATAGTTATGTTGCCTTGGTGATTTCCCAGGTCTGCTGGAGAAGATCCAAATGTCCAGGAATTATAATCTCAGTTACTATATATCAGGAAAGTTGAGAACATTAGTCACTATGAGTACCGGACTACGAGTATTTTACCTCTGCTGAAGAAGGTTACTTTAGTGCAAACACCCAGTGTATTGTATTTTAATTATGATAGACACGATCAGAAATTATGCGACGCCAGAATAGCCTTAAAACCAAATGCATAATGTGCGGAGAAAGTTTAACATTGATAACATAGATAGGCAATGGAAAATATGATGTCGAATGTTCCCAGAGGATTTACCGTTATAGGATGAAAAGATACGGGATAATGCGTCGCGATATTACAAACATTTTAGGTGATAAGATCAGCCATGAAAATAAGAACCAGTATTACGTCACCTGGATTGTGGATTTCAGCGAAAGGAAACATGCAGTGATATTTGAGGATAAACGTGTTTGTTTAAGTATACTGTAAGTTTGGAAAAATCATGCGCTCGTGAGACCATTGCGAAAAATGCAATTGTCTTTTGATCGCATGTATTTTTCTTTTGTGTCTCAATTACGACTACCTATCAAGCTATTCCTTCAGGTGAACGAAAGGCTGGTTCCTCAATAAGATGTGAAATGTGCAGAACAACATCACTAGACATGATGATCTTCTATTTAATCTGTGTTTCCTGGTATGCTGGGCATTGTTTTATGTTCAGAGATCAATATTACCGTGTGTAGTTTCTCGTTAACGTAGCCGGAAATAGAAATAAATATATTAGCCCAGATCTACCGGTTATATACTTGAAACATGATTAAAGCTTTGATGGCTATTGGCAGATACTTTTTGCGTATGGACCAATTATACCAGTCACTGTTAAAGCTCCTCGCGAAAACATCATAGTCACACTAAAAGAAATATTACTTTAAAAGTGTCGAAGCATCTCATTTATCATATATGTGTCCATTCTCAGCCAAATGAGGCGCCTCTCAAGACGTCATTATTGTGTATCTGGTCTCGGTTGCTGTAGGTAATGAGGTGTTGGTCCCACCAGTTTCGATTTGAGTGAAAACAACGTTGAAAGAAATACGGTACCCAGCGCACATACCAGTTTCAACACAAACAACAAAACTATTCCACACAACGGAATATTTAGGAGCCTAAGTCATTCAAACAAAACACTAACGAAAGATTACGAAATAGAAATTCCATGCGAAATTCTTTACATTAACGCTCTTTGATTAACGTTCGACTGAATACATTTCGGGTAACGTTCATGGAAGGCATTTTCTCCCTTTGCAACTCTTCTTCTGTTGATGGAACATCAGCTTAATATTGAGCTGCATTGATGGCTAGGCATCAACAGTCGCATGATATTTAGAGATGCATATATATGAGTGCAGTTATGTAGATTCGTAGTTAAGGTCTATAACAAGTTTGCCTATTATGTTTTATATAGGCGTAAAATTATTCCTTACCATATGCTTTGAATACAATGCAGCCCATGAAACGTCCTGTAAAGAGGAGGACATAGCGATCCTTCATGACGATGAATATTGTTTACATATTTTCTTACCCCTCTTTGAACAACGTTAGAATTACCACGGTTAGGTTATTTTATTCACACCATCAAGGAAACATTTGCCTTGAGCTCGTACCATTAAACGAAAAGGCTGGTATCGCTACATAGGTATAAGTCAAAAGGCCCGAGTCAAATGGAACCTTACAATACTCCTATTACCTCCAAACACAAGTCCTAATGAGCATTCAAGGCTGAAATGAGGATGTACTTCCTGTGAAGTTACAGATGATATCGAAGGACCTGTCAGTTGTTTCGTGTTGAGTTCATGTAAACGAATGTTTGAATGGTATTTCGAACTGATACACAGGAAATGGGTCAACTTCGGTATTGTAAGGGACAAGGCTTTTCGAAATATATTCTTACTCACCTTCAGGTGAACAGAGGTTGTAGTGTTTAAATCCAGGTCTCTGGGTGGCACGTGGTGATGGATGTACATCATGCATGAGGCGTAGATATCTAAACAAACACACGTATATACAAGTATATACATGTACATGTGTGCCCGGAGGAAATGGTGTATGTTAACACTTGACCTTGTCACCTAGGTGGTGATGTTCGTTGTCAGTGACAGGAGTGTTATGGAAGTGCTATTGCGATAATTTAAACGTTGGCTGTAACTTTGGGTCAGTCAGTACAAGTGAATTGGTTTTTGATTTAGCAATAACAGTTCATCGATATAATTGAAGCTTATGTTGAAACCCTTCGTTGTGGAGAGGGGTTTGCTCAGTCATAGCGGTGACACCCAACACTATTACCGACTCGCCTCAAAATCAGTCATAAAGTTGCAGGTTGACATTGGCCCAAAGTTTCCTAAATGCCACCAGACATGACATGCCTATCACGAGAGTGCAAAGTAAAGCGGAAGTCATCTGGAACCGTGACACGTGACCAGAGACACCTTTGATGTCTGTTGGCTATCTGACGACTAGGGCCGGTCCAAGATATGGTCGCGGAGCACATATACTAACGGAAACAATTAACTCTACATAACATAAACCTGCATGAAATAATAATATCCCTAAATAAACATGCAGCAAAGCACTTTGCATGATATGTGATGTCACGTATCGCGCGTGGCACGTTCACTTTGTGCACAATGAACTTACTCACTTGTGCATGCTTTTTGAAATCTGAAGTTCGCACATCTGATATTGACAATTGAAGAACGGTTGATTATTCTCCAGCCTCTAAATGTTGTGGAAAACACGTTAATTTCAATCTAACATGCGCGTGCGTCATGCCACGGCTTACAGAAAATCTACGCCGTGGGTATGCTGGAGACTGGATTAACCCATAATGATGCCGTGGTGTCCATCGACATTTTGGGACGTTTCCATCATAAACACGAGAGATTTGCCTGGGACCGGCCGTCCACGCCTGACGTCACGTCAGCAAGACAAACACATTTGGCTGACCCATCTAAGGAATCGATTCCAGACTGCCAGTTTGACTGCTTGGACCATACCTGTCTTACGTCTAATCAGCTCCAGGACTGTACAGAACACAACATCGATACACAACTGCAATACGTCCAATTTTGCTCCAACAGAAGAGAAAATTGGGATGGTGTTTTGTTCAGTGATGAGTCGAGATTCATTTGGACAGCTCCGATGGCAGGGCGGCAGGGCAAGGGTGTAAAGACGGCGAGGTGAACAGTATGCTGATGCGTGCGTTGTTGAACATCGACAATTTTGTGGCGCTAGCGTTATGGTATGGGGGAACATCATATCTCATGGTGGGACACAACTTGTCATTGTCAATAGCAATGTGACAGGTTTGCGAGACAGGGTATGAATCATTGGGTCTCATGTACAGCCGTTCATTCAAAGACAGAGACGTAACTTCACGCTTCAGCAAGATAATGCCCGTCCACTTGTCGCCCGTGTTATGACAGATTTCCTGAGACAACAGAACACCCCCGTACTCCCCTGACCAGCTGTTTCTCCAGACCAGTCCCCTATGGAGCACGCTTGGGATGAAATGGAGCGACGTTTTTTACGCCAAGCCATTGATGTTAGCTGAATTGGGACAAGCGTTGGTTCAGACATGGAACAACATTCCCCAAGTTTTCTTCAATCGTTGGTGTCGTCTATGCGTCATCGTTGTCAAGCCTGCATCAACGCCAATGGTGAACACACACGATACTGAATTTGTGAACTGACTTTTGACACCACATGTCTTAAAGGACGTAAATACAAAAAAAGAAATTATATTAAAAAATGTACATCAGACCTGTACATCAGTCTTCTTTCTATGCATCTTTTGTATAATAACATTTCCCTAAACTTTCACTTTTCCTCTGTCTATCATACAGAATTCGATATTATCCTGTCAACAGCTAAACAGTGACTAAGGGAAACACCACAAACCATGTTACTATCTTTTTGCATTAAAATTTGCATAACATCAAATAATGCAGTTACTTTATTCCAGTACTATAG